GTTCATGAATTAATTAACATATCAATTGGCATTTACAATGGGCTAATTAAAAACATGAATGAATATTTAAAATAACGGTTGCACAGATCGCCGAAAAAAAAGAAGGAAAAAAAAGAGATAAAATAGATAAAGACAACGTGTGTGACTCATTTAAACAATGATTATACAAATCGCGGGGAAAAAAGGGAAGAAAAATGAAAGGACAAAAGAAATATAGACAAAAGTGAGAAAAAATATATGAAGTAAAAAAATATATTTTTTTAAATAACCCTAAGAAAAGTACTTTTCCATAGTAAATGTGATCCCCTTTTTCAAGCTCGCTCTTATCAATCTTGTTGGCAAAGAAACCCATTTCTCTCCCACTCGAGGTTCTTCTTTTTCTAAATATCTTGCTTTCCCCCACTTGTTGATAGTATATTTCTAAATATCTTGCTTTCCCCCACTTGTTGATAGTATATTATTATACTGAGAAAAGGATGTGGATATGGGGCTCTAGGCATATACATATCCACACCTCCTGTTAAAGATCCAACACTGAGTATAGGGACAAGTAGTGTGATTGATATAGAAATGACAAAAACAGAAAATAATAGAAGGTATATTTGGAGTTACTTGATATTACAAAGACTTGAAATGGTCTTCGTTTATCAATTTCTCCGGGGATATAATAACCATACAAGTATGTAGTCATTAGGTACCTTTAATTTTTATTTTTTTTCTATTTTGATGTATTTTAAATTCTTTAATTAAATATGACGTTGAGATTAATCATGGTTCATAAATTAATTAACATGAATTGGCATTTACAATGGACTAATAAAAAACGCGAGTGAATATTTAAAACAACACTTATTCAAATCACTGGAAAAGAAAGAAGGAAAAAGAAAAAATAGATAAAGACAATGTGTGTGACTCATTTAAACAATAAAAATACAAATTGCAGGGAAAAAAGGGAAGAAAAATGAAAGGATAAGAGCAATAAAGACAAAACCAGGAAAAAAAATATGAAGCAAAAGACAAAAGAAAAAATTAAGAAAGTAGCTTGTATGAAATGTTTCGCAACTGAAGCTGTAATTTATAAGGCTAATTGGCAAAAGATGTTCATGTAGAGATACATTTAAAATAAAATAAAAAATTAGTTCAATAGGGTAATTAGCAAAAAAATATTATTATTTTAAATAACACTAAAAAAAGTATTTAAAATAGATATATTCAAAAATACATAAAAATTAAAGGTTAAAAGATGAATAAAAAAATATAAGGTAGGAAAAAGAAGAAAAGAAAAGAAACTAAAAAAAAAGAAAAACTAAAAAGAAAAAAAAGACCGGCAACAAAATGGGGCGGGCAATAAAACGGCCTCCGAAAAACGGATTCTCTCTTTTAAGTCCGAGCGAAAATATATAAATTGGGATTAATATATATTCTACATATAATTGTGGTTATTTGATTAAGTAAAGGATATAATATATATATATATATATGCCGACCATTGTAATCAGGGCCAAAAAAGGGTTTTCCATAGTAAATGTGAGTAGGAATACAACTTTCTATAGCAGTAAATGTGGTCTCCTGGTTGGAGCATCCTCCTATCAATTATGTTGGAACGCAACCCCATCTCCTTCTACAACTTTGTCCGTCTTTCTCAATAAAAAGTTCTCGGTGGCATGGGCTACGCATCAACAGTCTTATTTATAGCCAAACAAGTATCGTATTAATTTTTTAAGCAAGCAACAACAACTTGGCTTTAAAAAAAAATGTGTATATAAGTTTAAATTGACATCACTATAGAATATTTTAGTGAGTGAAGATTTTTGTTGGGTTTACTAATTCGAAAAATCACTATTTCTCATAATGTCTATCCTTCAAGATGATATGATTGGTAGATTTTTCTAGAACCTTAATATTCTTTGTAAATGAGATGCTTTATATTCGATTATTTATATCTGTCATTGGAATATAAGTGGTCCTTGGCATAATTCACACTCTAAAATATTTTATGGAAGGAAAAGAAGACAAATACTCTTTAGAATATATGGGTCTTAGATTTTCACCTATTATTCTTAATTAATATCATTTAATCAAAGAATTATATTAGCTAAAATGATATTAATCAAGAATAAAAGGTAAAAATTTTAGAACAATACACTCAAATGGTGAATTCACTAATTTTTTCTTCAATTACCTAGATCAGCCTCAAGAACGTATTTCTTGGATTCTCACATTTAGACCTTTCTTTGAAGAAATAATTACACACAAAAAACCATTTTTAAGACTTTTTGCTTAAAATATGTCTTCAGTTTGAAAAAATTGCCAATCTATCTCATTGATTAGCTATAGTCAACTAGAACATAACAGATGCAGGTGTAAATGTGTCGATGCTATGCGTATTATATGATATCTCGGTTTCAGATGCAGCACGTAAGAGTACTAGAATGAACTAAGCAAGATCGAAATCTGGTAACTAAGCAAACCAGATTTCTAGAGCAGCAAACTCATGAACTATTTCATAAAAATATGCCATTTTCCAACAACTTGTTTGACGCTGATTTGTGTTGATTTGCATTGTTTCTCAGAGAATTTGCTTTTGATATCCAGTAAAAGCTAAAGTTGCAGCAATTGATTTATCACTGTAATTTATACTCTATTCACTAGCTTTATTTACTTTGTTTATTATTAGTCTCGTTTTGTTAGCCTGATGGCTTAAATATAGGCTTATTATTTTCCCTAAAATCCCAACTTTTATATCAATTCATTTGTTAAATTGCCTTCTATTTTTCTTTTTGCCCTTCATCTTAAATTCCGGTTACAAAGAGACCATCTTATGGAAGGCTTTTTAATCACGGCATGTACTTGACCGTCGTACGCGCATATCCCTTTAAAGAAGTATTGTGCATGATGAGTAACAGCCGCTCAAGATGAAGAAACTTTCAAAAAAAAAATTAAAGCCCGTTTGATTCACAAATTTAATCCTCATGATTTTGATTATGTTTTAGTGTTTTCTCTCATAAAAAATTTAATCAAAAAAGTTTCACCAACAAAATTTGAATTCTAAATTAAAATTATAAATTTGAACTCATGATATTCGAAACCGTATTTAAACATGTAAGGTTAATTATTTAAAGGTTTTGGGGTAGAGGCAAAACGAATATTCTCTCTCTCTACCAATTTGGACATTAGGTACTGCGTTTGACAGTACTCTCATTGGTCGAGTTCCAATTTGACCTAGCCAACCGTACGTATGCATATAAATACACACAAGACAAGGACATATAACAAATGTCCTTTGTGTAATTACGTTCTAGAATTTACGGAGACTACTTATATATATATATATATAAATATATACACACACACACATACCAGTAGAACGAGCAACTGCATGTATACTATATATACAATGTGGTGAATTGATTACTTGCATATATATCAACTTTCTTGTTTTGAAATGTGCTTTCTCTAGGAGATGAATTAGTCCAAAAGTGTCTTTTAGCATATAATAACAATATTATAATATACACTTGGATAATTAATATATGTAATGATTGATCAAGTGGCCATGAATCCTCCTCAATTTTCATAACTGTCTAAGGGAAGAAGATTAAGGACAAGAGAGAACCGAATAAACACTTTTAGCATTTTTTAGTCATAAAATAGTAATTTATAAACTTTACGACAGAAGCGGTAATGTTCTATTAATACCAACCTCATTGAAGTCAATATGCGGCCCAATAGCGGTCAACTATTAACATGCTAATATGAATTGAAAGTGATGTTCAAGAGAATAAGTTTATGAACAAGTTGCGTGACATTTAAAAACAAAAACAAAATCGAGAGAAAAACAAAAATGGGAGACTTGGAGCTACATGAAAGGGAAAGGCTCGTCTTCATCAACTAATAACTACTTAATATCTTAGGACTATATGGGAGTACTTTCCCTCCTCCAATTTTTTGTTTCGATCTAATACCTTTTTGGATTTTGGGTTAATAATCTTGTGTTAAAATGCATATGTTAAATATAGTACTAATCAGAACTCAATAAGAAATCCATCTTAAGTCCTAAGTTTAATTAGGGCTCATTTGATTCAAAAGTTTGAATAGAAAGTTAAATTTTATGAGAGAGAATATTGTAGTAAAAAGGTTTTGAACAATAGTTTGAATTTGTCAAATAAAATGCATGCTCAGTTTTCTGATAACTTTCTACCGCTTTACGTACACATTCTAATTCAAAACCAGATAAACAAATACCTAGAATTCCCATTAATAAAAAGGCGGAACTTCCTGCAGTGTACAAAATAAATTTTGTAGCTGAATACAAACGTTTCTTTCCTCCCCACATGGATAGAAGTAGATAAACTGGAATTAATTCTAATTCCCACATGATAAAAAAAAGTAAAAGGTTTTGAGAAGAAAATGGAAAAAAATAAAATAAAATAAAATCATTGCATCAATAAAATGTGACTGAATCATTTGTAATAGATACATATAAGCATCATTATATTATTGTTTTTATATATACTATCCTTTTAGAAATTTTCTGGTACGTCTATATATATAATAATATGTACACTTGTGTAGAAGAAATACTGGCAGTGTAACTTGTTTATACACAGATTACTAACCTTAAACAAATTGTCACGTACATGTACTAGTTAAAAAAAGAAAGTAAATACTAATAATGAAAGAATTTTCAATAAAGAAAACGTAGAAACGAAAGAAGTAAAATATAAGGGTAACGTTGCTTTGATTTCTAGACACGTAAAAGTACATGACAATATATATATATATATAGTCGATCAATTAACTAATTTTTTTTTTTACATTATTGATTAGATAGTACATACACTGACTCGAAGGTACTGACGATGATGAAAGAAATTGTAGCTAACTACATACAAATTATATTTAAAGGGGTAGCTTATTACTTGCTCCCAACAAGTAATTTGCTTTTATTTATTTATTTGCACGAAGTAGTCCTGATCTTAATTAACAATTTGATCATTCTATTTGTTGTCTTTATACTTCTCCGACGATGAGGAAGCGTTTGTTGCTTCGATCGCGTCAATCTTATGGGCAAACGCCAGTTCGTTAAAAGTGCTTGCAATGTTGCCTAAGGTTAAAGGCTTTGAAGTAAACATTTTCGCGGCAATTTCAGCCCTGTGTTTGAAACCTAAACCCTGGCTGCTCACAGCTTTGCCTGTGGTGCAGTAAACAGCAAAAGACTCGCAGTTGTTGTTCAAGAGGTCGTAGTCGCTGAACCCTCTGCCCGCTAGCATCTCAATGGCTCGTTGGACGACGACATTGGGCGCGTCGGAGGATCCCACGCTGCATGTTCCTAAGTTTTTTGTACAGAAGTGGGCCTTGGAAACGTTGTACTCAAAACGATAGAGCTCGTGGCCTCCCAGGAAGCAATCGATACATGTTTTCACCACCCCTCTTTGTGTACTCCCGTGGTAGTCGCAGATGTTGCAGCGTATACTTGATTCCCCGGGGAGATCCGTTGTTCTGGTGAAATGGATCACCCTGTTCTCTTCCACATATATTCCTGCCGTAGATGAGAGCAAATCATATTTCCTAATATAATTAAGCACTATTAGCTCTTTGTTGAAGTTTGTTAACAACTTACTCATCAAGTACTTAATTATGATTTTGCAGTGCAAGATATCAGATGCTCAAGTAATTAAGGAACTATATAGGAAGATATATTTTGTATAATAACGATCTTAACAAAATTTTCACGATTCATAAGTTAAATGTGAGGAGAAATTAATTAATAAAGAGATGATAATAATTACTAATTAATACGATCACACAAATGATATTTTTGTATTATTTAAGATATGCGCATTTGTATAAAAACTCAAAATATCGAAGATATAGAGCTTCTTTGGAATAGCTTTATTTTGCTTCCGTTTTGCCACTTAAATAGAAAGAAAAAATAAGTAAAAAATCCTACCTTTATACGTTAGGGTTTAACAAAAAAACAAAGTTATACATATGTATGTATGTATGTATGTATACCGTGGTGGGAATAAGAGTGCAACGTTCTATAGGTATAAATGTGGTCTCCCGGTTTGAGAATCCTCCTATCAACCTTGTTGGAAAACAACCCCATCTTTCTCGACTCTCTTTCTCAAAAACAAGTTTCCTTTGCGATTGTTTCAGTTTGGCACCAATTGTTGTTAATCGAGGACTGCAGTGGCAACATGGCTATGCGGCAAGGGGCATATATATAGCCAAACGCAGCTCATTCTAGGTCCCTAAAAAATTAAAAATAAAATAAAATAAAAACAACTTGCCACAAATAAATATATATATATAAGAATTGTCTTTTAAGTCCGGCACCTAGACCGGTCATGCGCGTGTAATTTTTTCTCTATATGTTTGTGTAATATTATTCGTGTGTGTAACACTCAGTTTGTTTTAATGTATAACATTTAATAAATATATTTCAACACATGTAACATTGGGTGTTTACGGGTATATGAAAAAATTATACGTACAAACGAACGATATTACACATACATACAAAACAAAGTCGCTGGATTCAAGATTTTGCCTATATATGTGGTTTTAATACTTACTTTAATATTTACTCATCGATAGATATTATTATTTTAATCGTGAAATTTTAATCAAACAGTTATAATAAATTAAGTAATTAACTTAAAAACTGTATAACAATTAATGAGATTAACATCTCATAACGCTATATTATTAAATTTCTATATCGATTGGCAACCTCCTATTTGAAAACGTAAATATTTGTCTATATATATTGTATATATATTTCTTTCATTTAAAGAGGGATTTAACGCAATTTAACAACCTTTGCAGGAACAGTTAACTGCACTCCAAGCGCTGTCGTTGTTGAGGACTTTTGAGTTCTGGTTGAACAAGTACTTTCCTTTTTTTTATTGACTAGACTAGACTAGACAGAAGTTTCCTTTTTTTTATTCTCTCCCTACGAATTTGGGTCTCGTTCGTTTTGCTGATTCGAGTTTAGAATTCGAGTTTTGTTACAGTAAAAAGCTCTCACAAACAGTCACATCTAACTTTTTTACTACAGTAAAAAGCTCTCACATAAAATCACATCTCAACTCGAATTCTAAACTCGAATATATATGTATAGATTGATCAAGTGGCCATTATGTACTAGGAGAGACGCAATGAATCCTCCTCAATTTTCTTAACTGTTATATTGGCGCATTCTAAGGGAAGAAGATCAAGGACAAGAAAGAACCGAATAAACACTTTTAGCATTTTATAGCCATAAAATAGTAATTTATTTACTTTTATGAGAGAAGCGTTACTGTGTTCTATAAATACCAACCTCATAGAAGTGATATAAAGTGATGTTCAAGAGAATAAGTTTATGAACAAGTTGCGTGATATTTAAAAACAAAAAATCCAGAGAAAAACAAAAATGGAAGACTTGAAGCTAGATGAAAGACTTGTCTTCGTCAATTAATTGCTTAACATATTAAGTTTGAATTGAGATTTGCGAAATTTTTATTAGAGATGTGTTTTTCATCCCTCACGTGATGTGGTTCTTGACTTTGCATGTTTGTTAATCAAACGATCATAGAAAAAATGGGATAGATTGTAAGAATTTTGCAAGTCGTGAGGTTAAAGTACCAAACGTAAAAGTTCGAGGGAGAGGTTGAGGGCAAAAGTGTTAATAAACGTCCCTAACTTCTCTCCCTCCCAACCGGAGGTTCCAATTGAAAAAACAAAAAAACAATACAAAAAAACAAAACAAAAACAATATATGTAAATATACTTATGTGAATATGTGACAGCCCTTGAGCTTTTATATGCAACAATATCATTGTACCTATGGTTTTTTTATTATTATTTTTTTTCAATTGCATCTTGTTGTTTTTGTGTTATGGAGACTTTATTCAAAAACAAAAAAGAAGAATAAGAAGACAATTAATAAATAAAAGTAATTGAACTTGCAATGTTTTTAAAAAGGAAATATGACAGTAATAGTTCAAAGAGATTGTATTATTTTACAAATCAAATTAAGACTAAAATTAGGTGGGGTATGAAAGGGTTAAAAGAATAGAATTTTAAATTTTTCTTAGAAGAATATTACTTAGTAGGGACATCTATAAATTTTTAGGGTGTACAATGGCGAAGCCATAATTTTATTTCAGGGAGCGTAAATTGAAAGTTTGAAAACTGTTATAAATGTTAATACTTTCAATGCTTAGTACTACTAACTAGTTGGAAGAACATTTTACACATGTACATATTGATCTACTTATTGAAGTTTTTGATACGCAAATTAAAATTTTGAATAGTTTAATTTTTTTTTTTTTTTAAAAAAGGTTTTTATTACTTTAACAAGAGTAAATTAGAGAAAAGATATTTATGAGAAAATAGTAATTGAGAGGGTTGCTTAAAAAAAAATGCTTAATTAGGGACACGTTTGAGAAAATATTTATAATAGGTTATCTTTTTAGGTTATGATAGAAGATTGTATGAAAAAATATTCAAGAAGGCACCAATTTGAAAAAAAAAAAAAAATAGCTAGAGTAAACTAATTAAAAAAATTCAATTAGGCACATTAAAAAGTTTAAATTGGAATTAGTGGAGGTGAAAACGAGCCTCACAACACAAAATCTCGAATTTAGAGCGCTTAGGTGCGATACAAGTAGTGGCACAACGCACTGGAAATGTAAAAGTTGGTATATAAAAGTTGGGATAAATTGCATGTTGCACCTTAAATTATTTATTTTTTGCATAATACACTTTAAACTTTTAATTTTGGCAAATTGCATCCTAAACATTAAAAACAATTGCAATTGAGGTCTAATAGGTAACGAATATTATCAAATTGACAGTTTAAGACATGTAATTCACATATGAAAGATCAAGATTGTCACTTTTCAAACTATGTTACGTACAAATCTTGTGTCTCAAACTGTCATTTTGATAATGTTATTAGCTATATGATTTTAATTGCAACTGATTTTAAAGTTTAAGGTATAGTTTGTCAAAATAAAAATTTCAGAGCATGTTATGGAAAAGATGAATTATTTACGTGTAACAGTGCAATTTGCTTCAAAAATTAATATTTAAGTTGGTGTTCTTAATATTACTCAATCTAAAACATTATAGTATTCTTGATAGCCATAAAATAGAACAAGAAAACATTATAGTATTCTTGATAGCCATAAAATAGAACAAGAAAACATTATAGTATTCTTGATAGCCATAAAATAGAACAAGAAAACATTATAGTATTCTTGATAGCCATAAAATAGAACAAGAAAATGGTAAATAAAAGGGTAATCTTGATAAATACCCATTAAAAATATATGAGTCAAAATTTTTATTTTTTATTCTTAATTCATAATTTTTTTAATCAAATAATTATACTAATAAAAAAATATTTATCAAGAATAATAAAACTCTAGACTTGCTACATTCTCCAGTTTTTTCAAATTTTTTTTCTTAGAAAGAACGGCCCAGATCATTTTGTAGACTCTCGTTTGAAGGCCCGTCCAATATTACGGCCCAATAAAAGGAAAACTAGGGTTTGTACTATATATATGTATTTTCAGTCGAATGATAAGGCGACGGGGTTCGTTTAGGGTTTATCTTCTTCCATTAGTTCTGCGCCGCGACCTGTAAGTCTCCTTTCACCTTCCATTACATTTATGTTAAAGCTTCTAAACCCTAAACAAAAAACTTAACGAAACTAAAAAACGCGAAAACATTGAACGGAAATTTTCCAGATTCTGGTATCCATTTCCATTTCTTGCGATTTCTCTCTCTGGTTCTAAACAAGTGCTTTCTTTTCATACTCTTTGTGGATCTGTTATACTTTAATTTGGTGTATGTTTTCTCGTATTTGCGAAGTGGTTAATAATGTTTATGGAGAAATGTTACAGGATTTTTGTTTGTTGTTTCTGCTTATTTTCTGTTTGGCTGAGTTGAAAGTTCGATGGAAATTTTAGATTTAGGATTTTAGGTCTCCTTTGATATTGATGATGATCTAAATTATGTTCTTCTGTTCAGTCGGAGTTTGATGTTGTTATATGTGATTTTCTTTTGCTTAATTCTTTGAACGGAGTTTTATTACTTGTTGACTTCAGATTTTTTGTGGGGTTACACCGTAGTGCCCGATTTTATTGCTTAGTGAAACATCAATTATCGAGAATTTGGATTCTTTATGAAATGATACATCAATACTTGATGAAAAATTCGGATTTTATAGCATCTGTCTGTATAACTTGCTGTTAATAAGCATTAATGTTTTTTGGAGAGCAGACGTATCTAGTTGTATCACTGGATTAGGATATTAGAAGGCTTCTGTTGCATTCAAATCCCATCCTTGTGTTCGTACTAGTTCAATTGATGCCTCCTGTAATGCAAAATGAAGCTTAACTAATGTCGGTTTTATTTTCGTTCGTGCAGTATTTTGCAGGTAAGCCATGGTTAAGCATAACAATGTTATCCCTAATGGCCATTTCAAGAAGCATTGGCAGAACTATGTGAAGACATGGTTCAATCAGCCAGCTAGGAAGACTAGAAGAAGAATCGGTGAGTGACTTCCTCATCCTCTTTTGAAGATGTTCTGCTTGCAGAATTAATTGTTACGTTGTGACGGTGGTGCACTTAAGAAATCGTCATGTACTAGTTCATTCATTTGTATAAATCTACTTGTTGAAATGAAATGTTTTTGGGTTGGGCTTCTTTGGTAACACTTTTTTTTTTTAATTGTTACCAGCTCGTCAGAAGAAGGCTGTGAAGATTTTCCCCCGACCCACTGCTGGACCTCTTCGTCCAGTTGTTCATGGACAGACATTGAAATACAACATGAAACTTAGGGCTGGCAGGGGCTTTTCCCTGGAGGAGTTGAAGGTCGGTTGTTGCTATATGTCTGATCTTATATTAAGAATTCCATTTGAAATGTCTCTTTCACGGTGTTAAGTTTCTTAATTATATTTCGTCGTTTGTTTTTGAAATTTTAATGGATTTCATGTCTGTGTGTGTCTGTAAGTTATGATTGTTGGCCATTCTTGCTCATGCAATATTGTAATCAAATACTAGAAGGCCTGTATTCATATTGTCTGAATAATATTTCTGATTTGTTGATTGATTCAATTTGCAAGTAGCTTCTTACATTGGTGCTTAATGTTCATCTTTCAGGCAGCTGGAATCCCAAAGAAGCTTGCACCAACCATTGGCATATCTGTTGACCATCGCCGTAAGAACCGATCTTTGGAGAGCCTTCAAGCTAATATTCAAAGGCTGAAGACTTACAAGGCCAAGTTGGTTGTCTTCCCAAGACGTGCACGCAAATTCAAGGTAAAGATAGTTGATTGTATTGTTCTGAGTTTGATCCAATTCAATGACCTTTTTCCTTTGTGTGGGCTGTCTAATCATTGATCATTTTGCTTTAGGCTGGTGATTCTGCTCCAGAGGAACTGGCCAATGCCACCCAGGTCCAGGGAGAGTTCTTGCCTATTACGCGCGAGAAGCCAACTGTTGAGCTTGTCAAGGTTACTAATGAGTTGAAATCATTCAAGGCATATGACAAGCTTAGACTAGAGCGCACAAACAAACGCCATTTGGGTGCTAGGCTGAAGAAGGCAGCAGAGGCTGAGAAGGAAGATAAGAAGTAGAGAATTTTGGACCTATTAGGCAGCTTTTTAAAACTATTTTGTTTAGCAAATTTTGCATTTCGGTTGCAGACTCTGTTTACTGGACCTGTTTAAATTTCATTAATCTTAATTGTTTGTTATGTCAGTTGAGGAATCTTAAATGGTTGTGGTTTCACTGTTTTTTGTTCAATTGGAACTTCATTTCGATCTTGAGTTTTTTGCTTTTTGTATCTCGTTTCTGCCTGTTTGGGGCTTTCTGTGACCTGGATATAGTTTGTGTTTTACTCTAAAGATTGGACACCAGTAAGGCCTGCTAAATATGAATTGGATCAAGGGAATCTTTTAAAACTTTATAGTTCTTGTGAAAGGTAATTAAAAGATAAATTCCCTGTAAAATGTCTTTTAAATCTTGATGGAAGCTTGAAGAAGTAAAATCCTAGTGAATAAGTTTGATTCTTGTGGGGGTTGATGCATTTGCCCAAGCAGGTAATGTATTTGGATTGTTGAGTCAAATCCAATTTACAGAATGTAGATGGAATGATATTTGCATATTCCTCCAACGTGAATCTGAAATTTTGAAAGGTAAGAAGGCTAAGGGATGTAATAAGTCCTGGTATCCACCATGAAAATCTACTCGAGATCTCAAAAAATACATTCAATGATTAATTAGAAATGGATGACAGTATTTAAACTGTTGACTGTCCTCATTTTGACAATGAAATGATAGAACATAAAAAATTGAACTGTTTGAGTGTTCTTTTTCCAACATCATTCCACGGGGAAACAACTGATTTACAATAAATCTTTGCTATTAACAAATATAACGATTCCAAAAATATGAACAAGTTGACGGAATGAAACACCGACGAAGAGCTTCTGGCCAAAAACTCTACAAAAGAACGTATGATATACTTTATCCAATGCTGCAAATGCTCTCTACATTTTGTTCAAGCGCTGCAAAAAATTTCCTTGATTAGCACAGAAAATTAGATTACAAAAATCAGCAACATCAATAATCTATGTAACCATGCTATATAACAGAAAACAGACATTGGAATTCAGTCAAGGCAAAACTGTAGAGTTTTCTTATCTGTAGCTGGCGCCACATATCTCCTGACCGTGACTTATAATTGTAGTTCACAGGTTCAGTATTACAAAGCCAAGTTTTTATCTTGTATATTCAAGAAAAGGATAATTTTATACCACAAACCATAAAAGCATAATATCTAATCAACTCCAATACATAAAGTTTCTCGTACATATGATAGAGCCAAAAAAATGAACGTAAGAAAACAAAGGCAAAAACAAAAATAAAAGGTATTTTGAAGTCACAAATACCTGAGAAGCCATAACCCAAGTTTCATTAATCCAATCTTGATGGGGTCTTAAATCACAGTGTTCAAACACCAGTTCTTCATCACTTTCCTTAAAGTAAACTTTGTACCTTCCTCCCTTAAGGATCTTGCAAATCACACCTTCCCACCACCCGTCATTAAGGAAAGCGTCAACTTTTTCGTTCAAGTCGAAACCATCAACAATAATAGCTTCCGGAGGATAAGGTCTTATATTCTGTTTATCAACCTTCTCTTTCAGAAACTCTTTATCACCATCTATTCTTAGCCCCTTGAACTGTACCAAATACTTGTCTTGACCCGCTACTTTGACAACTTTTGCAGCATACCAAGAACCTCGAAATCCTTCTTCATCGATGCGAACCTCAACCAGTGATCCTTCACTTAGTTCCTCTTGCTTTATAGCTTTTGCTTCTTTAGAAGCTGAGACAATCTGCGACCGCAAATTTTGAATGCTCAGATACTCATTCATACGAGTCAAACAAGATGAAGATAAAGGAACTGACAAAAGATCCTAAAACAAGAAAGAAAAATAAATAAATGATTATTTCATGCATATCCCTTTCTGCTATATTTTCACATGATCTTCAGAACTGCTAGGTTCCATCCCGTGTACCGAGTCATGATCCAATAAATCACAAACGACAATCCCAAAACCAAAACCTTAAACAAAAAATTCAACCCCCAAAAAAGACAAAATATCCAAATATTATAGATAAAGCTAGGACCTTTGCTTCAACACATTGAAAGACCAGAGCACATAACACCATCGTATGATACAGTAAAACAGAACCCAAGAAAGAACAAACGACATAAAACTAAAATAGAGACAATCCCAAAAGAAAAAACGACATGTCGTTTTCATAAACGGCCTTAAAACTGTTGAGCAGATATATGAATAAAGCTCGAAACTTCATACCCATGATACAATAAATAAAATCACCAACAAGAAGCCAAAAACCAAACCCTAAACAATAAATTCAACCACAAAAAGGACAAAATATTCAAGCATTATAGGAAAAGCTTGGACCTTACCTTTGCTTAAACAAATTGAAAAACACGAACTCACAAAAACGATTTATCGTTTAGTTCATAGGTATTGAACAGAAATTTAAAATTTTACTGAGAGAAAATATTATAACAAAAAATTCGAAGTATAGTTAACTTAAGAAAGAAGAATACTTACCGTCTCTTCCAAAGGAGGGACCCACTTTCCGCTAACCCACTCTCTGTGAAGTCTCAACTCCGGACACTCAAAGTCCAATTGCCTCTTCAAATCTCGCAAGTAAACCGAGAATTTCGAAGAACCCGCCGAGGTGATGGCAATCACTCCCTCTCTCCACCCGTCATTATAGAAGGCGTCGACCTCGTCGCCGGGCTCGAAAGCGTAGCTGCTTCTCTCTCGCGGCGGCGACGGCCTCAGAACTGCCATATCCACTTCCTCCTTCAAAGCCTTGCGCTTGTTTCTCCCAGTGGTGCTTCTGGCTTTCAGCGTTTTGTATTCCACCGTGAAAATTGTCGCGCGGGAGCCCTTCCCGATGATCGTCGCCGGGAAAAGCGCGCCGCGGGTGCTTACCTCGACCTCCGCTCCGACCTCGAAGTTGGCGTCGCCGCCGCCGGTGACAGGCATGGCTTTTTTTTTTTTTTTTTTTTTGGGGGAGGTAAAAGATTAATTTCGTGGTAAAGTTAGGAGAAGGTAAAAGATTAATTTCGTGGTAAAGTTAGGAACTTGATCATCATTATCATCATCTACTTAAAGAGAATCATCCACGGCAATTTTCCCTCTTTTTTTTTTTAAAAAAAAAAAGAAAAGGAAAAATATTCCTCAGAAGTTGGATAGAGGACAAAATGTCGTTTCTCGGTGAAAACGAAACGACAAAATTTTTCCTTAAACGACATGTCGTTAGTTTATACTAAAATGCATAAACAGAACATGACGATGACGACATAAGACTCTAAGAGCCAGCTTGATGTGCTATTAAAAGTTTGTATTAATACTGTATTATTAGTTAGAAATTACTGTGATCAGAAGAAGTATGTAAATATTTAGTAAATGTTTTTTTTCAAAGTTATTGTGAATAGCAGAAGTAAAAATGTATGTGTTTGATAAATTATTTATTAAATTACTGTAAAGATATAGTGACTAAAATAGACATGTTTTAACACACATATTATTGTTAGTTTCATCTATTTATAAAATCAATATTCATAATATTTTTAAACCATAGTACTAAAAAATTTATGTGATTTTAACTTATCATTTAATATTTTCTAAAATATAAATTGTTAAATGTAGTATTTATTGTTGTTCTTTTTAAACATTGATTAGTATAAAAAATATATTTGAATAAATTTTAACATAGTATATTTATAAAATAATTTTTATTTTTAAATAAATATTTAAAAGCATATATTTTAAATTTAGTATGAAAAATAAATTAGGTAGATAAAAAATTATTTTATTATCAAGATTATTTTAATAAATTTAGACACTAACAACAAAAACAGCTGTATAAAAACAACTGGTGACAGCTTTCTGCTGCTACAGTTTTTAGAATCTGCTGCACAAAAACAAGATTTAACATCCTGATCCGCTCTGCCGTAACTTATAATAAAAATAAAAATAAAAATAAAAAAGGCTAAAAGCTAAAAGCGAGGCCTATGCTAAACGGGCGCATAATACGATGAGTGATTCCAGGACGAACGGTAAAGATTGTGAACTGCAATTGACGGCTCGTCGTTTTCAAGAGGGAAAAAGAAACGACAGCAAGTTTTGAAGTACAGAGTCTGCGAATACATGTGAGACGTGGTTTATTGCTTGAGCCTTTAAAGGATCAAGATTTAGAAGGCCGACTGCAAAATATTAAATACGACTGCCGTTTTTAGTGATTAAGAGCACAAGTTAACGAACGTGAACGACGACTTAAACTACATTTGCAATTCAATAAATGAATATTGTTTGCAATTTTCATGTGTGAAAACCGTAAAATTTTCACCGAGAGTATAGAAAACCTGGAATATTCAAATGATAAAAACGTTTTCGCTGAACGACATGAAAGTAAAATCGACACAAAATCAAAAGAACAAGCGACAAGTCGTTTTTGTGAATGACCTTAAAACTTTTAATCACATTAAGCAGAAAAACAACAAATATAACTAGAATGTTTCCATAACCAAAACAAGAATAAGCACAAGGATTGGGCAACCCTCAATAAAGTACAAGCAGGTGACTTTCCCCAATACAAAGCACATTCGTAGATGAAAATCAAAATGAATTACGAGGTAAACAAATAGAAACTCAAGCAGCCAAAGCTTGTGGTGACATCTTTTTAAAAGTCACCCTCAGAACAAACTATATCAAGTACAGCCCTCTGTTGAGTACCTGAATTTTAGCGGGGAGGGAGGAAAAAAAAAACAAAAACAAAAAAAACAAGAAAACAAAAATTTTCAGCTGCATAACTAGGAATATAGTGAAACAAAATTTTTGGTCCTGAACTCTCTTCTAATTGACTTTTATGTTGAAACATGACCTCCAACTCAAAGGAACTTTTATCACCTCCAGTTACACTGGCACGAACCGCAGTCTCTGGTATTTGAATTGCACCGGACTGCATTATTATCCAGGCTGGTAAAGCAGTTATCAGGGTCTTCAACTAGTTTTCCCTTTCCTTTGCCCTTTCCTCTCTTACGTCTCCGTTTCTTAGTTTGGCTATTTTCATCATCTGCAGACTCGTTAACAAGAACCATCTCCTTGGGGTTTAAATGGCACGCCAAATCCATCTTCACCCACATGGCCATCCATCAGTTTCCTTTAGTTTCAGTCGGAGTCGCATAGACGGCTTCCCTCAAAGTTGAAAATGTTGATTCTATGCCTCCAACAATGTTGTCTGGTATAACATTACGTTTTTCCTGTCCCTGTTTCGGTCCCAATGATTTGCCACAAACTTTTTTTTTATCACCTTCATGCCCACTTGCACAAACTGTCTCTACCAAATTCGAACAGCAAGCCAATCCATCCAGCCCCACGTACTCATCTGGAATGGCAGTCCCTCTCTTCTGTCTTTGTTCTTGTTTTCGTTTCCTCGATCCACCATCAATGCTGCTTTCACCACCAGCTTTTTGATTGATCTGCAATTGGTATGTCAATTCATCTCCACCTTGATTTTTATCTGGAACACCAACTTGTTTTCTCGTAACAACTGCTGCTATGGTTTTTCCACGATGCGCCCCCTTTGCAAAAATTCCTTTGTCCAAATCCACATGGCAAGATATTCCATCCTTACCTTCATGGACGATGCTTTTATCATCAGCTGTTTGATCCACCAGCAATTGGCATGCCAATTCCTCTTTACCTTGAACACCAACGGCTTGTTTACTTAATTCAGCTACTATGGTTTTCTCACCTTGACCCTCAGCACAAATTCCTTTCTCTAAATTAAAATTGGAAGATAATCCAACTGTACCTCCATCCTCATTGGGAATTAACTTATTGCCTTTTTTACGTCTCTGTTTCGTTTTACGCTTACCAGATCCACCATCAGTACTGCTTTTATCACCAGCTGTTTGATCCTGCAATTGGTGTGTTGATTCATCTCCACCTTGATTGTTATCTGGAACACCAACAGCTTGTGTCCTCGATTCATCTGCTGCTATGGTTTTCTCACATGGAGTCTTATCAGCACAAATTCCTTTTTTCAAACTCATATTGCAAGATAATCCATCTATGTGGACATTGGGGACTATACTCCCTTTGCTCCGTTTAGACTTCTTTATACGCTTCCGAAGTTCACCATAAATGCTCCTTTTATCACCATCTGTCTGATCCACCACCAATTGGTGTGTCGATTCATCTCCGCGTTGATTGTTATCCGGAACGACAACAGCTTGTTCATCAAATCGACCATTACTGAAACTCTTATCATCTCCAGTGACATGTTCAGATGATGTTCCTTGTAAATTTGAACGTGACGCCATTCCATTTGCACCCAAAGAGTGATCAGAGAATTCACAATCATTGTCCTGTTTACGCTTACCAGATCCACCATCAGTGCTGCTTTTATCACCAGCTGTTTGATCCTGCAATTGGTGTGTTGATTCATCTCCACCTTGATTGTTATCTGGAACACCAACAGCTTGTGTCCTCAATTCATCTGCTGCTATGGTTTTCTCACATGGAGTCTCATCAGCACAAATTCCTTTTTTCAAATTCATATTGCAAGATAATCCATCTACATGGACATTGGGGACTATACTGCCTTTGTTCCGTTTAAACTTCTTTATACGCTTCCGAAGTTCACCATAAATGCTGCTTTTATCACCATCTGTCCGATCCACCACCAAATGGTGTGTCGATTCATCTCTGCGTTGATTGTTATCTGGAACGACAACAGCTTGTTCATCAGATCGACCATTACTGTAACTCTTATCATCTCCAGTGACATGTGCAGATGATGTTCCTTGTAAATTTGAACGTGACACCATTCCATTTGCACCCAAAGAGTGATCAGAGAATTCACAATCATTGTTCTGTTTACGCTTACCAGATCCACCATCAGTGCTCCTTTTATCACCAGCTGTTTGATCCTGCAATTGGTGTGTTGATTCATCTCCACCTTGATTGTTATCTGGAACACCAACAGCTTGTGTCCTCAATTCATCTGCTGCTATGGTTTTCTCACATGGAGTCTCATCAGCACAAATTCCTTTTTTCAAATTCATATTGCAAGATAATCCATCTACATTGACATTGGGGACTATACCCCCTTTATTTCGTTTAAACATCTTTATACGCTTCCGAAGTTCACGATAAATGCTGCTTTTATCATCATCTGTCCGATCCACCACCAATTGGTGTGTCGATTCATCTCTGCGTTGATTGTTATCCAGAACGACAACAACTTGTCCATCAGATCGACCATTACTGCAACTCTTATCATCTCCAGTGACATGTGCAGATGATGTTCCTTGTAAATTTGAACGTGACGCCATTAATTCACAATCATTGATCTGTTTGCTTTTCCATCTTCGCTTCTTACTTTTACGAGCAGATGATATTCCATCACCGCCATTACTGCAACTCTTGTCACCTGCAGTATCACCTACAGATGCCACTTCTACTGTACATGGAACGGTTGGAGGTCCATTTGCACCAACACCACCGGGGCAAACTGTTCTCGAATGTTCACAGCACAACACTCCATCTGCACTTGCACCTTCACCGCCTTCCAGAGATCCTGTGCTCTTTTGCTGCATTTCAAGGCACCACGTCAACACAAGTTGACGAGCTGATTTTGCAAGATGGGAGCCAGAGACAGAATTGCGGATGGGCCTGAAAAGTTTTATTTAGTGAGTTAAGAAAAACTGAGACATCGAGAGACCTCATCCTTTTTTTTTTCCTTTTCAAGAGATCCTCATCAATTTTTTTTTAAGTGCCCCAAGAAGTGTAAATGTCCGGCCATGCTCTTAGTCTCAATCTTTTGCCTAGTAAAGTAAGTGGCAAAGTAAGCAAAACCAACACTCTCAAATCATATTCATTTGATGAATAGGGAGTTTAATAATAATATGAACAGAAGAAACATAGTAATGAGCTAAATCTTAATATTTGCAAATTTGCATAAACTAACAATGCTCATATTTTATCCAACGCCTAGTTAATATGCTCTATAGAAAGACGACGGTAGGGGACTCACATTAGAGAATGTAACCGTCCAACAACAGCTGTCTGCTCATGCCACAAAAATGGTTTAGGTTTAATGTCTTTCTTGCAGATACACTGAGAAAGGAAAGATAAAGTGAAAAAATGTAAGCAAAAGATAAAAACACAAAAAGAAAAGCTAAGAAAGACACTGATTTAGTATAGGGAGCAACCACATACAGCTACGTTGAATTGGTAAACGGCAATAAACACAGATAATGAATCTCAAGAATGTCATATGATGACTTCAATGAAAACTTCAATTGACACTTATCCCCAAAGCAAAATGTATTCGCAAATATCAAATAAAAAATGGTAATGAACACCCATGGTACTCAATATTCAACACTACAGCATGAGGTGATCGAAAAAGCAAGATGTCCAGCACTAATAATGCCAAAATGAAATGATTTACCGTAAAAAAAAGAAAAACAAAACAAAACACCCCCAACACCCGTTGCCTAATATCGTACAATTGTAAACTGGTTTAGAAAGAAAATATATCTTTAATATGTCATTGCCCAATCTTCTTTTCTCTGGTTCAGAATTAAAAAAATATATGAATAGTTTACATTCAGGCATACAGGCAAAAATCAGTAATCATTATTTGTCAGATCTTAAAAAATTGTTGTCAAGTCCAGTGCAGAACTACAATATCACATAGAACGTACAGAACATCAACTGCTTAAATATATACACGAATAAAATATTAATTTTGTACCTTGCTAGGCCATGCAACTTTCTCTGGCGGTCTAGGAATATGCCCTAGGAAGCGAGGATTATCATAGAACAAGGACCTGGAGAAACAGAGACTAAGATTAAGCATATATGAGAGACAAATAGTAATTAAAATCGGTCTATAAGCGACTGTGAAATTAACATACAAGACTTTATTATTTGCAATCATCTCCATTCCATCAATTGGCGAATCTATTTGCTCCGGCTTCACAGTTTTATCAGGAATGAACATGTACCCATTCATTCCGGCACTACATGATTGAAATCACATAACATGATTAGCATTAAAATCCTGAAAAGCCCCAGAAAAAGAAAACACCACTCCACTAGTCCACTTAAAAGCCAACTCGTTCTTGCCAAATACAAAAGAATGTTAAAAGTCCTCAAATGACTACAAAATTGTGCACAAAGAGTTGGTTGTTATAAGATGTGCACAAAATGTCAAAGTGAAATGTCAGCATCCTAAAATGGAAGGGAGGCCTCTATATTTCTCCCAATCTCAAAAGTAGAAGTAATCTGCTGATGGAGACAGAAAACATACCTGAATTTTGGGTTAATTTTCTCTTTAACTTGAGCCACCAACTCATTTCTTTGACTGAAAAGAACTAAACTCTCTGAAAAAGAATGAGAACTGTGAACGAAAAGTACATCCAAGCCCAAACGGTTCCTTCGTCTCTCCTCATCCTATGTCAACACATTCCCAGTGAGAAACATTGGAAGATAAAATGATTACATACTTAACAAAGAGCTAAAAAATTAAAAATAAAGATTTAGATATATATAATATTATTATATATACATATATATATATATATAGAGAGAGAGAGAGAGAGAGAAAGAGCGCGGCAATTTTCTTAATTGCATATTGTATGAGCTGTTAAACAACAAAAAAACAGAAGAAACATTCCAGCTTCCAGTTTAAATGTTTCTCAGATATGTCATACATTTGATCATTTGACACAGCACTTAAATACCCGGATAAATGCCTAGAAAGAAACAACTGTGATAAAAACAAAACGATGTCGGTTTCAAGTCTTACCGTCAATGTGTGTTCTACTCTTGCAATCTCTGAAAGAAGTAGGGACTCTTCAATGAATGGAAGTTTACAGATAGCCTGATTTCCAGACAATACACAGACATCCAAGTGTTAGAAGAAGCTCAACCTGCAGACTTGCCAAATCCTAAAATAAAACTAAATTATAATATCAAAAATATAATAATTACGAAATCAAATTAACATTTTAAGTGGTTAAGAAAGTTCCTGAAGAGTATTAAAAAAGGAACTGGTATAATGCTTAGGCTGTTTCTAACGGGAAAAACTGTGAATTTATTTAGCGCAGCATTTTAACAAAGAGGTCAGTCCAGGTGCGAACAGCCACCACTTAACCTAAGATATTTCAAACCATGTCGTGCATGACATGAAGAACACTTCTACACGTGAGTGTGTGGGGTGGGTGGGTGTGACCAAATCATCCAAAAATATTTTTGATTTTTCAGCAAGTTCACAGAATAATACAACATAATTTGTCTATGCTCAAGGAAAACAAAAATTAAGATATGAAAATCCCGAAATGTACATACTTGCCAAGAAAACCGTTTTCCATTCAAATCAAGCTCAAAATCTGCAAGAATATTTCTTATTAACTGACATAGAAAATTAAAATTTCATATGAGCAAAACATAGAAGATAATAAAATTTGATACCCGTAGGATAAAAAGCGAATAAAGGTGATGACGTTTCAGTCATAAGCTTCCTATAAAACAACGGAAGAGCAGCGTGTGCACTGCATGTGCACCAATGTGTCAGGTCATATGACTAATATGGTAAGGCAAGTGAAACAAATACTGAGGTCGGTAAAAACAACAAAAATAATAATAATAAATAAATAAATAAATAAAACCTTGCAGAAGGTAATACAGCCATCAACTGATCAACTGGTTTAAAGGGTTGCCCAAGTGTGAATTGAATCTTCAATTTTCCAATATCATGGAAATCTGAAGCAAATGGAGCATAATGATAAGGATAAAACCTGCAGGTCGGACACTGGATTAATAGAGTAATAAAATTACAATGCTGACATGGAAGACAAGCCTTTAACATTTGAAGGAGAAATGTTGTGGATTTAAAAATGTTTTCACTGACATGGAAATCCAAACCAGAATAATGTCCCAATTTGAACAGCAAAGTTATCCATGGTTGCGTTGGTATTGATGGCACAATTATGGGAAATGACAAAGAGGCCACAAGACAATGCGGGTATGTACATACACAAGCATGCATGCATGCAGGCCCAAGTAGAAAAGCATAATCCATGTGACCCCTTTGTTTTCTTGCGAAACAGTCATGGTACTCCATCACAGACAAAGCACACATTGGCCTTTTGAAAAGAAACTGGTACAGGAGGAAGTAAGCTAAAGCAAAAGAAGACCTAGAAAAATGCTAGGGACACTTTCTATCACTCTCTTTGCATTCTACTGTTTGACACGTGGACTCCACTATCTCATTTTCTGTTTAAATAAAAATATATCATGTTAGTGGAGTTCACGAGTCAAACAATGAATGCAGAGAATGACAAAAAGGGTGACAGAAAGAGAGTTTGCTAGCATTTCTCGAAGACCTATTACTTAGCTTATTACTTGCTCCTACTGTAAAGGAAGAAGCAAATGACCTTCTGCATGTGTGTGTGTGTGTGTGTGACCATTACTTAGCTTACTACCTCCTACTGGAAAAGAACAAGAAAAATATGACCTTTTAGAAACAAGTGAATAAAGTCAGGTTATTTTGCTTACTACTTTCTTTTACTATAAAGGAAGAAGCAAATTATGACCTTCTGCGCGTGCGCATGTGTGTGACCATTACTTAGCTTACTACCTCCTAATGGAAAAGAAGAAAAAGATGACCTTTTAGAAACAAGTGGATAATGTCAAGTTATTTTGCTTACTACTTGCTTCTACTACAAGAGGAAAGAAGCAATATGACCTTTTAAGGTCACGACTGAAAAATGAGGCTTGAGCAATTCAAATATGGACATGGCAAATGATAAAATGTGGATCTCGAATTGATCCAATCTCATTTCATCACACGATAAAGAAAAAATCTCGGCAAATTTTAGGCACGAAAAAAGTATTACAACAGAAAGGTGAAAAACCTAAAATCAAAGAAGAGTCTACATACCATTGCCAGGAGCATACACCTTCATAATAGTAATGCATAACCCAGCAAATGCCCTCTGTATATTTCAACACCTATATAAAATGCCAGAGACGTTTAAATCACAAACCTTCAAAGAAATAATAATGACAATCATGCATACTCATGTCCTTTTTTCTTGTGATCTTTGTACTTCATGTTTTATTCTACTGAAGTATGATTTCTTATAAAAATAAAATAAAAATAAAAAAATAAAGGAGGAGGAGTAGAAGGAGAAGAAGGAGAAGGAGAAGGAGGAGGAGAAGAACTCCTATGCGACCATACAGTAAGTAAATTATGAGTAGGATATCCTACCACATCTTGCCGAATTCTCTCACAGTCATCCTCAGTTTCAGCCTCAAATTTTTCAGCATAATATCTCTCTTTCCAACCCACTTCTCCGTATTTAATCTGTCAATGCACCAAAACTTCAAAATATGAACACAAAAATGAGTCAGATTGCAACATAAACAGACCAAGGAAGCACGTTATGTATAAACCTTGTCAACTTTTGTAGTTGTGCTAAGTGAGACGGATCCTTTTGGTGCTCGAACCTCCAGCGCACGGGACTGCTTTAGGTAAAATTTGATGAAAACATAATTTCAAGGAGAAAAAAAAAGAATATGGTCATCAAGTTGAGTTTAACTGATACTTGAGCTCACAACATACGTTCATTGAATCTCCACCAACAGGTGTTGTTCTAACACTAGTATTCTTTGAAAAACGCCGATCCAGGAAATCCCTCTCCTTTTTTTTCTGAAAAAAGTGCATTATTAAGAAAAATTATGAAATAATCAAAGCAAACAAGATAGCATAGTCTATGTCTATATAACTTGTTAAACTTAGCACACTCAAGCTCTACAGTAGGCTGTAGCTTTTGAAGACGTCTCTAAGATTTTTATAACACTCCTTAAAAAAAGATATATCAATAAGAAAAGCAGCAAAAAGTTTGTTTACCAATGCTTTTTACTAAACCAAAAGCAATGTCCAAAAGAAATATTTACGACCTGTTAGCAGCAGAAGCACAAATCGCATACCAGGGACATACCAATAATAAGGGCAAAACCCATAAAGGCTAGTCTTAGAACATTATTGAACTGTGCAGCCATATGAGGTGCCACTTATACCAGCAATACAAAGGACCAATAACAATCCAAAAAACAAGCTTCACACATGGATATTCAAAAAAAAAAAAAAAAAAAGATGCTTTTCAGTCAAGGAACAAGAAATCTCCTGGTCCTTGGACTCCATGAGAATACATAGTGTTTTTCGGGGGCCAATTCCCCACACAAAATTCGCCAGCCAGTATAAAGATTAGATGCCAAACAAATGACTTTCATACTTCACATCCACCTAACTACTGTTATAACTTAACGGAAAGAATTGTCTTCATCTTCCATAAAAAATCAATCCGCTAACTAGAACTCCATTAAGTTAGAAGATGAAGATGATGATTTTTTTCCATTAAGTTAAAAAGTAGTTAGGTAGTTGTAAACTATGGAAATCATTTTTTATCCTTGCTAAACATTTAAAAGTATAGAAAAATGAACAAGAAACAATTTTAAGTGTCTACTTAATGATCACTACCTGCCCACGTTTTCTCAAGATGGCACCTTCATGAGATCCCACGGCTTCTAAAAAGTACTTCATCTTATTCAAATTTACCTACGAATTAGGAAATAACGTGGAATATGAGAAACCTACAAATATAGTCGAATTTTTAATCATAAAAAGATAAGGTAAAGAAGTATCACATCTAACAGCAAAAATCATGAATATTGCAGAAACTCCAACTATTCACCTTAAAAGATTTAGTTATGTAACCGCCCATTCTTACAAATTCCTTTTTGTAAATTGTCATGAGCAAATCAATAGCCCCCTGGAACATTCAAGCACCATAAAGAAAAAATATCAGTCACGTCCAACAATAACCATGAGTTCTAGGACTGGGACAAATAAAAAGATAACAGCAAAATGCAAGTGACAAATTCACCATCCACAAGGCACAGGATTCAAAAAATTTAAAGCATGGGGGAAGATAAAATTTCTCAGAAATTTAACCACAGAAGACAATGATTCAGTTTTACAGAAATTTCTCCCATTAAAAACTTATAATTCATAAATAAAATAAAGTTGCACCTCCATGAAAAAGAACCAAGGAGAAGGAGAGAAATTTGTTATGATCAACAGGACAAAAATGAAGAACCGAACTAACAATACAACACAAAATATTATATATCATAGAAGCATCTTGGGAGGACAACCTCAGATATTTCCAGTGAAGGCATGTGAGGTAGAAAGTCATTTCCCACAAACAAACAAATGAGGACAAAATCATCAATGAGACGCTCCAAATCTCCATCCTTCTGGTCTGGGATTTCCATAGCATATGATAAATACTCTCTAAGGATCCAAACATGGAGAAACTGTGCGAGAAGATGACAGGAGAAAACATGTTAGAATAGGAATATTCTGAAGTTAATATCAAAACAGAAAAATCAAAACCATGTAAAACCAAATGTGAAATATAATTGAAAGATTGCATTAACCTATGCATTAGGCTCAACATGCAACAATGGACATATATAAAAAGAGCTAATTGTCATAGAACATAATCTTTATAGACATTGATCGCATGCTAATCCAACTGTTTCCTTAATATAAAGCATACATCACAAGTGTAATAGTAAAATAAACTATGAGGACACTAATTCAAACAATGAAAAAGGAAAAGAAAAGAAACGGAGGATTCAAAAAAGAATCACCACTCCATTATGATAAACCAAAGACGAAAACATATTAACATATGGAGTAAATAAAATACTCTTGAGGGTTATGAGTCTGTTATTATTCAATCTTAGTATCTTGTTGTCACGTAGTTAGTAAGGGGGAAAAAATAAAATAAAAAGATAAAAAAAATGACACCTTGAACAATTTTGAATCAGAACCAATTCAAATTACAATAACATGCTCAGATCCACCTAAACCTTGGCCTCTAAGCGGGCATCAGCAGG